ACTTTGACCTGATTGTAATAAGTTCAACAAAGCATCCCGTTTCTTAATCAGGAGAGAAAGGTAACAAAAGACCTTCTAAACTGTTTGTACCTCCAATTGCAAAGAATAAAGTAATCAATGATGTCTACTGAGACTTCCTCCCTAATAAAAGGCTTGAGGCTAAAAGCAGGTGTTAAGAAGTTTGCATATCTGAGCTATGCTTTTGTTGTTGTTATGTGCCATCAAGTCGCCTGCAACTCATAGCGACCCTACGCATAACAGCCCTAAATCCTGCCCCATCCTGGGCCAATTTCACTGTCTCTGACACACCCATCCCGATTACCCCAGTCATGAATCAATCCACCTCAAAGAGGGTCTTCCCCTCCTGCGCTGGCCCTCCACCGTCCCAAGCATGATGTCCCTCTCCAAAGACCAGTTCCCCCTTACTACATGTCCAAAGTATGTCAGATGAAGCCTCAGAATCTTTGCCTCCAAAGAGCAGCCTGGTTTAACCCTCTCCAGGATGAATCTGTTTGTTTTCTTGGCAGTCCAGGGTACATTCAATACTCTTCTCCAGCACCACAGCTCAAAGGCATCAATTCTCCTTCTGTCCTCCCTAGTCATTGTCCAACTCTCTGATGCATAGCAAGTGTTTGCAAAGACCATGGCCTGTATCAGATGCACCTTAGTCTCCAGAGTGACACCATTGCTCTTCAGTACTTTGGAGAGGTCCCTAACAACAGACTTTCCCATTGCAATGCATCTTTTCATTTCCTGGCTGCTAGTGCCAAGAGTGTTGACTGTGGAGCCAAGCAAACTAAAACTGTGAACAATCTCAATCTCTTCACCATCCATCCTGATGCTGTCAATTGACCCAGTGGTGAGAATTTTTGTTTTCTTGATATTGAGCCTCAATATTGAAGGCTGCAGTAGTCCTTGACTCTCTGCAGCAAGTGCTTCAGGTCCTCCTCAGTTTCAGCAAGTAGGGTTGTGTCATCTGCATAATGCAGATTGTTGATGACTCTTCCTCCAATCCTGATGCCACACTTCTCCTCATAGAGCCCAGCCTCCCGGATAATCTGTTCTGCATATAGGTTGAAAAAGTATGGAGATAGGACACATTTCTGACATACACCCTTCCCAATTTTGAACCATGCAGTGTCTCCTTGCTTTGTTCTGATGACTGCCTTCTGGTCCAAGTATAGGTTTCACACTAGTACAATCAAGTGTTCTGGGATTCCCATTCTTCTGAGAGTCAGCCACAGTTTATTGTGATCCACACAGTCAAACGCCTTTGCATAATCAATGAAACACAGATAAACATTTCTCTGGTATTCTCTGCTTTCAGCCAAGATCCATCTAACATTAGCTACAATATCCTTAGTACCAAGACCCCTTGTAAAGCCAGCCTGGACTTCTGGCAGTTCTCTGTTGATGTGCTGCTCTACTTTTTTGTGATATCAATGATATTGTTCGATAATTTCCACACTCTTTTGGATCTTCTTTCTTTGTAATGGGAACAAAGATAGATCTCTTCCAGCCAGTTGGCCAAGTGGTTGTCCTCCAGATTTCTTGACACAACTTGATGAGGACATCTAGGGAAGCATCTCATATTTGTATTCTCTCTAGTATCTACAGAGAGCTCTGGTGGCCTAGTGACAAGAAGCCGTGCTGCAATCCTGAAGGCACACAGTTCCAGGCTACCTGCTGCTCTGGGAGAAGGATGGGCAATCTCCTCCCTTGAAGATAACTGCCTCTGAAAACCCACCAGAGAGTCAGCTATGGGTCTGTTCTGACTCTGTGGTATACAGCAACAACACAAATTATCTGCAGCATGTAGAGCAATGTCAGGGTCAGTGTTGACACTCCATATTCAACATCTGTTGAATAAATGCTGGATAGAGGATGGAAATAATGTAACTAAATGCTGGTTGAACCTGTAAGAATAAAAGAGACTTCATTGGGTTTTCTCACCCATCTCTTCTTATTACAATGAATAAAATAATTAAACATAAAGCCCATGTATAGCTAGGGGAAAATTTAAAAAACTGTGGAAGCAATCGACCAAAAGTAGAAATAAGTATGTTTTATTAATTGTGATACACCAGATACAGTACATTTAATATGCTGCCTTGTTGAAGAAAATGAATCAGCACCAGTTTATGGTTTAAATTACTCAGAACCATAGTGTAGTTAAAATATATGCATGTATTCTTCTTGGCTGTCTTAAAAATAAACAAAACCAGAAATGTAAATAAAGACTGCTGAATTAATTTTCATCAGTTTTTGGAAGAAGGTACAATTTTTATTGTATTTTAAGCTTGGTTTTAGCAAATATATGCTGTGTGGTTTTCAAAGGCCAAAAATCCGATGGTTCTGAAAGGCTATACATGAGTTAGTGTTACAATTCGCAAAGAGGAAGTGGGCAAAGTTCAAGTCCTTTCTGTTGATCTCCTTTCTGGGACCATAACTGGCCTTCATTCCCTCCTACACAGCCTTCTCTTCTTTCTCATCCTCTCCTATAATCTTCATTTCCATTTTACTCTTTATTCCGTATCTTTTCTTTCTTTCCTACCACAAACTGCAGCCCGACAGCAACAAACCAAGAGAGAAGAAACCATGCCAACAATTTTCTTCCTGTCTCCGCTTCCCCCATCCAAAGACCAGTCATGAGTAAGGAATGAAGGTCATAACTGCTTAGCACCAAAACTTGCCTGACTTTTCCTTTGTATCTTCTTTCAACTACTTGGACTTTACAACTAAATAGTGTATGTTATGAAATATTTTTAAAAATTCTTCTACTTTATTATAGCTGTTCTAGTTATAAGTTTTATAATTTTATAGTTATTGTGGCTACTTTTTAGTTGTTATGGTAAAAATAAAATTTTGTCTTTATGCTAGTATTTTCAATTATACCTAAATACTTTCACTGCAGAAATGTATACCAAAACTCTCATGCCGACTGGGTTTGTTTGGTTTTATAGTTTAAGAGTTCCAGGAGGGAGGAGTTTAAGAGTTCCAGGAGGGAGGAGTTAACCATGAATCCCTCATTCCTTGAATTTCTGCTTTCCCTCCAAGGGCTTAATTCTTTCAAGTCACCAACTTGTTTCCTCTGTATCCTGAAGGTCCCCTTTCCACATTGTAAAAGTATATCAGAAGGAATATTGGCTGGAACTGGTGTGGGAATATGGATTTGACATCTTTGGGTTAAACACAAGAGAATGATCGTGTGACATAGGAAAGCTGTGTGGTCTACCGGCCTCCAATCCATGATAAGGTGCCACCTGACTCCATCTTTATGATGTTTGGATTTAAGTAAGAGGCGCAGGGTAGGCAAAGCTTGGTCTGCTTTTCAGAGGATTACTTAGGACTTGTAGGTAACTTAGAGGATCCTAGCAACAAGAATTAGAACATTTGACCCTTAACCCAACCACCCTGTAAACTCTTCTATTAATCAAAAGTTGGTTATGAACCAAAATAAAGGAGGCTTGTCCTGTTGGGAATACCTTAAGTTGGACTGATATGCTTTCAACCATCTGGTTTTATGCAAAGTGTTAAGAGAAAACATGTACCCAACTCAGTCTGTCTGAGAACCCATATTGAATCTTCAGTTGCACTGATGTTTCCAGAGAAGGCTGTCACTCTCACAGACACACCTTCCCTGCGTAGGAAATGAGGAAAATGTTGGATTCACTATTTAAAAAATCAAGTTCCAATTTCCTGTTTCTTATAATTAGAACCTTAATTTCAGAAGAGAGTTGTAAGTCAGTTGAAATAAAAAAAATAGATAAAGTTCCTTTACATTAAGAGAATCAAAATCAAGTTAGCATGGTATTTCTACAAAGATTAAAGATTCAGGGGCTCAGTCAATGAGAATGTAGGTTTTTCTTAAAATACAGATTCTTCTCCCCCTTTGTGTTATATTTTTTGATAATCTACACAGTTCACTCACACAATTCTCACTAAGCAATACTTTTCTTCCATATGGCAACCATAATCGTTTATACTTTCCACTTTAAACATCCTTGAGAAATGCCAGTCAGTATTATACAGGCTTGGAAGCAGGAATAGCAGCCACTTCAATAAACAACGTATCTGTGGAAACTGTATGAACTTTGATAAATGTCAGTAGTTATAGAAAGTCTTCAGGCCTTTCGTTCATAGGGTCACTATGAGTCATGCTTGACTTGAAGGCAATCAACAACAACATTTATACAGGCAGGCGAGGAGAGGGTGGTACTTCAAATTTCTCATTGCTCCAGAGACACACAACTACGAGCTTTGGAATGGTGCAATGCTAACACTCTGATGTGCAGAGGAGATGCGTTTAATGAACAGTGATGGGTAGACAGATGTTGGAGGGAGCCCCTGGAATACAGAGCTTTACAGATGAAATTCCATAAACTAGTTCTCCCATCTAAAACCTTCCTTTGACAATATACCTTTCAAAAAAAAAATTTCCCCTTTTTATCCACAGCCTTTAGTCTCAAGTGTCACATTTAGGTCTCTGGAGGGACAAGCCATGTGTTCTTAGCCCTAACTCGGTCAATGACTGGATAGGGCTTACTTCACTTCACACAGAATGGGGTGCTTGGAGTTCCTGTGATGTAGACTCAGAAAGGATTCATCTGGAGAAATGGAACCAAAAATTCCAAGGGCGATGAGGAGGGCACTGCCTGAGATCCAGGAGTTGGGGGAGGTTTCCTAGAATAATCAAATCCCACACCTTTTAATATTGCAGGCTATCCATTGAAAAAGCACTGAGATGCAAAAACTGTATCTCTTCTAAAAAATAGGTGCTTCTCAATCTTTCTGGAACACTGCATTGATGATCCCTTTTTAACTAGAGAGAATCATTCATAAACTATAATTTCAAAAATGTAAGCAGTCAGTCTCAACAACTGGTTTTCTCTGGAGGAACATTCACAAATGCCGTAAGTAAGCAGGTGAGAAACCCCCGGGGGGGGGGGGGGGGAAAAACTTCTCGGGGGATATACACCTCTCAGGGGGGGGGGGGGGGGCTAGAGGCCAGGCCCCGCCAGTCTTCTGGAGCAGATGTAACTGTGCCCTCGGCCTTGCCTACAGTCCCGTGCTTGCCACTTCCCTTGTCTTTGAACCAAAACGCAGTTTTTCCTGGACTTTGAATGCTGAGGGGGCATTTTCTTCCAGTTGGTGAAGGTGACAGGTTCACCACCAATCCATTGCCAGTGACCCTGGGGTCCTTGGTCACTCAACCCTAATGTGAACAAAAGAAAAAAAGGTTCAAGATTATTTTATTACATTTAGGCACAGACATCATGTCCAGTCTGTTGATTTAAACTCGGGAATCTCATGCAAGTGCGAACCCAGGCTCTAAAACAAATGATAACCAGAGGATGCCCACTCACCCAGACCCTCAAAGGGCATCGGAGGCAAACACTGATTCCCAGGGTGTTCAGCGGCTAAGTGTTTTGGAAGTAGGTAGACCAGTCGGTCTTTCTTCCAAGGCATCTCTGGGTGAATTCAAGCCTATAATCTCCGCCTCCCCTCCATTTTTTTCTTTTTATTAATTTTAATGAAAGTTTACAGAGACTTTGGATTTCCATCTATTCATTGTTGCACTTTTCTCCCTGCCCAAGCTCCCCCGCCCCAATTCGTTCTTCTCTTTGAAAAGTAAAATTCTTTCATTGTTATACAATCCCTCCAAGTCCACTCCACTATGCAGCCTTCGTTTGGAAAAGTAAAAGAAAAAATTCTTTCATTGTTTTCCAACAGCCTTTTAATTAGGAGCTCAAACAATTAAGTGTTTGGACAACACAAGAATTCCAAGTAAGTTAGTATCCACTGGCTTTGAGTCAGTTCTGACTTAGACTAACTCTTCATTGTCCAAGACTAAATCTTTATGAAGGATAAATATCTTTCTCCCAAGGAGCACCTGATAGATTCGAACCACCAAACTCTTGGCTAGCAGTTCAACATGCTGCACACTATGCCACCGGGTACCTTAAATAAATAACAGAAGCAAGGAATCATAGAAATCCCTATTAACAGCACAAGCCTTTGGCCCCAGAAAGACTCTCATGCAAATCTCAGATTCACTGCTTGCCTTTGGGCAGAAACTGAAGTGGAATTTTTGAAAACTCATCATAAAGTGAGGATAGAAGCAGTCCTTTGAGGACTGTTTTGAGAATTAAATTAAAGAAGTCATTTAAAGCTTTTGCTGTATCTAAGTGTTTAAGAAATAGCAGCGACTGGTGCTATTCCTATCATTCTATACACAGAACAACTTGGCCAGAGAAACATACTCACTCTTGTCTATTGTTTTTCCTCATTATTTAGAGACCTTGGTTTTCACATTTCACATTTGAAAGCAGATCTCTATGTATTAGGAGACCTGGTGGCCCAAAAGATTAAGCACTGGACTGCTACTGAAAGGCCAGGTTTGAATCTACCAGCCACTGAATCTGTAAAGAGTGATTGGCTGGGAATCCTACTGGGTCGTTTTACTCCATTCCACAGGATTATTATGGGTTAGAATCAATGAAACAGCAGTAGATTTTTTTTCCTCCCCACGTGTTATTTTTAGTCTGAAATTTAAGAGTTTTTAATCTGCTACAATTCCAATTAAAGGAGCTTTGCTCTGCTGGCCCCCTTCTCTCACAGGCAGTTTTTGCACTTTAATGTTGTAAAGTAGTATAATATTTTCTTAAAGCGGTGCCCCTCTAGCTCTGTTTTTCCTAAGTGAATTACAAAAGACTACAATGAAGATGGAATGCTCTGGAATATAGCGTGTGCTGCTGTCCGCAAACCTAGTTTGAGTGTGAAATCAGTCTCAGCTACACAGCACAGTAAACCTGCCCCAAACTGAGGAGAAGTCCATATTTTCCAGCGAAATCAAATGGAATCCATTTGGTTAGTGACACAGTACCTCCTCCTTCTCGGGTGTTTCCATGAATTATTGATCAGATAATGCTATGCTAACCACTTGAAGAGGCTAGAGCCCTGAAATAAGATATTGTGGGTGTAGAGCACAGTGCATCAGCTTAATATTCTCAAGTTTATATAAAGACTTACTATTATAAAAGCTTTGCAATACCAACAGAATGGGTCTTATAGTTCCCTCAAATGCAATGCTTTTAAGGGGAGGGAACAGGAAATCTGATTAAATGTACCATGAGAATTCTGTTTCTAAAATGGTTATAAAGGACTTATAGTTAAAATTTTAGAAAATATTAACAATTCAGACATTAATAAAAATGAGTCATGATTACTTTTAATTCTGACCTGGGAATAAGCCATATCTAATACTTCAAATTGTAACATAAGCACATGCAAATGTATGCACATATACACAGACATTCCACATACATCTAAATTAATTTTATCTTTCAAACTTATCTCACGCTTTATATGGTTGTGGACTTAGTTTTATTTAGCACCTTATTTACCACAATATTTTATATCTAGCACAATACACAACTAGTATATATTTATTGAATGAATGAATAAACAAGAGCTTTTATCATTCCTTTAATATTTAAAATATTTAAAAAAGCAATAAATACACAATGGAATACTACCCAGCTTGCAGAAGCAATGATTTTGTAAATGATTATCTACCTTGGGAGGGATTAGAGAGCATTATGCTGAGTGAACTAACTCAGTCCCACAAGGACAAATACTGTATAAAACCATTATTGTAGAATGAGTATGAGGATCCGGGGTCGGGGGAAGAGGGAAGGATGGAAGCAGAGGGGTGAGGACGGGTGTGGGGAAGGTGGTATTAATCACAGGGTTGTGCAATTCAATGGGGGGTGTGAAGGAAACGGGAAGGATCTTGTGTGGAAAACAATATATATGAACTTTGTAAATAAGTCAGTGTAAAATAAAAAAGCAATAAATATTAGCTATTCCTTCATAGAGTCATACTCTAATTTATATAACCAAACCTGATTTATAACTATTTCTCATTTTCTACATCCAGAAATTGTAGTGTATTTTCTTACCTCTAAATCTAACCAAGCTACTCAATTATTTCTTATACCTACTGTATTTGAGTGGATGAACTGCGAGGAGAGAGTAAAAACTAACCCGTGAGGTTGCTGTGGCTGCCAATCTTAATAAGAACAGATTGCCCATCTTTCTCTTATGGAGCAACTGGTAGATTTGAACCAAAAATCTTTTCATTAACAGTCCAGCATTTAGTCCACTGTGCTATGAGGAGCTCCTCCTTTCTTTTGAATAGATGTTTTAAAATGAAAGCATTATGTATGCCAAAAGATGTAAGGGGAGTTTTAAAGGACAGGTGGTTGTCAAACATAGCTGAACAACTGGTCTGCTGGTCACTGAGGTCTGCGGGAGGGCTTGGAGGGAGGTGTCCAGTCTCCTGGTGTCCATGCCTCCCTCCTACGTGCAGCAGGATTACTCACCAATCCAGAAGGGCTTCCTTCCACTGATGTTCCAGAGCCATCGCATGTGCTGCCTGGTAAGGACAGTAACAAGGCTACCCAGGTGTCTATAGGGGAAAAAAAAAACCAACCAAAAACGAGAGTCTCAGTGTCAAGTTCAATATTTCTGCCAACATACTTAAAGGAAATAAACACCAATTCAAAATAAAGAAATATCTATATGTGTTGTTAGTTGCCATCAAGTCACCTCTGACTCAAGGAGACCCATGGACTAGAACCCAGGTAATAAAACTGCCTGGAGCGGCAGCATCTTCATGGCCATTGGAAGGCTTGCATCCAGTGCTGGGGCTACTGGGTATTCTGAGTGCCTTTTCTGAGAGGCCCATCTCCCAGAACTACATTGGACAATATTCTGTTGTGTTTTGTGCAGTTTTAATTGGTTCATTTGGGGAAGGAGATCGCCAGACCTTTCTTCTTTATCTTAGCCTCGGAAGAATGCATCCTGAGTGAGCTGGTGATGATGATGATGACGATGACGACTATGAAGGTGAGATTTTGTCTCAATGCTTTGACATGACGAAGGGCTAACCTTTGGAAAAGGACATCATGCCTGGAAAAGCAGAGGGTCAGCAAAGGGGAGGAAGACCCTCTATGAGCTGCTTTAACACAGAGACTACAATGATGGGCATAAGCACAGCAGAGGCTGAGAGGACGGTGCGGGATTGGCAGGGCTTTGCTCTCTTGGCAGCTATGACTAGGAGTCAACTTCAGGGCATCTGGTAACATGACGGGCAGTGACCTGTAGGCCTCCTGAGATATGTGTGCTCTTGGTCCTTCCCTCCATAGGATGGTCCTAGGCTGCTTGATGTCAGTGTTCTGGTATATCCTGATCTCATCATTGAGTGTCAGCTCTTCTTCAACATTGCAGGTAAAACAGCAGCATCCTCTCCATTGCTCGTCATTTCCAGTACGTTGTTGTTGTTATTATGTGCTGTCGAGTTGCCTGTGACTCATAGTGACCCTGTGTACTACAGCTCTGAGCCCTGCTCTATCTTGAGCCAACCTTATTGTCTCTAACACAACCTTCCCCCTGTACCCCAGTCACTAAGTCAATCCAGCTCATCGAGGGTTTCCTCTCTTGTGCTGTCCCTCCACCCTCCCAAGCATGCCAGCTCCCTCCAAGGACTGGTCCCTGCCTGTTATATGCCCAAACTATGTGAGATGGAGCTTCAGAATCCTTCCTCCAAGGAAAAACTTGGTTTCACCCTCTCCAGGATCTTCTCCAGCACTGCAGCTCAAAGGCATCAATTCTCCTTCTGTCGTCCCTAGTCATTGTCCTGCTTTCTGATGCATATTGCAAAGACCATGGCCTAGAACAGGCACACCTCTGTCTCCAGATTGACACCATTGCTCTTCACTATTAGGAGAGGTTTCTGACAACAGACTTTCCTGACTGCTGGTACCAAGAGTATTAATTGTGGAGCCAAGCAAACTGAAGTCGTTAACAATCTCAATCTCTTCATTATCTATCATGATGCTGCCAATCGGCCCAGTGGTAAGAATCTTTATTTTCTTAATGCTGAGCTTCAATCCATATTGAAGGCTGCAGTCCTCGACCTTCTGCAGCAAGTGCTTCAGGTCCTTCTCAGTTTCTAATTCTAATATACTGTGAGCTTTGAACACAACACTGCCAAGATTTTATTAAGTGTGGGCTAAGGGAGGGTGTGAGGGACTCTCTTACTTAAGTATTCCTGAAGTTGGACAGAAGAGTTGAATCCAAGGTTCTAGGTCTACTTTCTGTTCTACCTTTAATTGCTTAATAGTAAAACCTCCTAACCTCCATTTTATCATTGCAAAACAAAGAAACAAAAGACCAATTGCAGCTGATTCCAGCTCATGGCAGCTCTTCATGTACGTCGGAGAAGAATTATGCTCCATAGGGCCTCAGTAGCTGATTTTTCAAAAATGCATTCGTAGGCCTGTATTCTAGAACACATTAGGTGGTCTTGAACCTCCAACCTTCTAGTTAGCAGTCAAACACACTAACCATTCTCACCACTAATGGACTCACATCTGGAAAGAATAGAGCTTTTATTCTGGGTTTCTGAACAGATCTTCTAGCTTTCCAGTCTTGAAGTTATTTTTAAAACAGACTTTATAAAATCTACTTCAACAACTCAATTCCTATTTTGATTTTCTTTTTGATTCCCCAAGAAGCCAAAGTCTCAAAATGCAGAGATGGGGAAACACCATGTTGAGGAAAGAAAAAGTATTAGAGTATAGCTTTTCACAAAATTAATATTTGGTCACTTGCATGTTGATTATTTTCTACAAACAGCACACTTCGATGTTCATACATAAACAGATATAGTGGATATTATTTGCATAGATAGTATTCATAGATATAAAAGTAGATTACGTAGGCACACACGTGCATAAAAGAACCTTCTGACAGCTCTGACATTTGAAGGTATTCCAAGTGTGGTGTGAAAGACATACACTTCTAGTTTTCAGGTTTAAGAAGTAAACATATTTCTCTCTTAAATGTTTTTATTAAAAAGTCCCTGTATATTTTATGAAGTTGTTGGGCAGTACAGTTAAATGCACGATGCTTATCACAAAGATTGTGGTTTTCACCTACCCAGGCCTCCAAATACAAGCCTTACGACCTGCTTTTGAAAGTTCACAGCTTTCAAAACACTATGGGACATCTCTGCTCAGTTCAGGTAGGGTTGCCTGAGTTGGAATCAACTTGTTGGCAACAAATGACATATTTCAGACAAGCCAGCAGGGGTTCCAGACATGCTTGTGAAAACAAAATGGATTTGCAGATAATTATCTATAATAATAGAATTATCAAATATACAATGGCCGCCAAAGGAAATCAGCAGATGAGATTACAATATGTAAATTCAAGAAACACTTTAAGAGTCTGGCTCCTCTGAGCTAGAAAAATAAGGTAACACCAGTGGAGAGGAAAGGAGATTGGAGATTAAGATTGAATCGGAAATCTGATTAGGGACAAGGAAGAACATTTAATTTATTATTATTATTAATAATAATAATAATAAATGGGCTATGTTGATAGAGATAGTGAGGAAGTCAGAAAAAAACAACACTGGGAGCCCCAATAATGGTCACTGGGGAAAAAAAAACAAACCACAAACAAAACCCAACAGCGGGTGTGTGTTGTTGTTAGGTACCATTGAATCAATTTTAACTCATGTTGTTGGGTACCATTGATTCAGTTCCAACCCTTAGCAGCTCCGCAAATCATAGAACAATACACTGCCTGGTTGTGTCCCAACTGCACAATCATTTCTGATTCAGCTCCTGTTACAGACCCTGCATCAGCTCATCTCATTGAGGGTCTTCCTCCTGCTTTCCTGACCCTCTCCTTTACCAGGAATGATACTTTCTCCAGAGACTAGTGGGTCCCTCTTGATAATATGCCTGAAGCACATGAGATGAGGTCTCTCCATTCTTGTTTTTGAGGAGTATTCTGCACGTACATCTTCCAAGACAGATTTGCTTTTCTTTTTCTTTTTTTCTTCCAATGAAGAAAGAACAGGTCCAGGTGTCTTTATTAGATTTGCTTTTCTTCTGGCAGCCAATGGTATATTTCGTATTCTTTGCCAACACTATAATTCAAATGCTTCAACTCTCCTCTGATCTTCCTTACCCACTGTCACTCTTTCACAGGCATGTGAGGCAATATTAAGCTCATACTGGCAGCCTAGTGGTAAGAAACTACACTGCAATCCTGAAGGCACAAGGTTTGAATCCACCAGCAGCCGCATGGGAGAAGGACAATCTCCGCCCATGTTATTAACTCCCTCCAGAGGGCCAGCTATGGTTTGGTTCTAACTGGATGGCATTCAACAACAACAATAATTGTAATTATAAAATCTAAAATCATCTCCTAGAAATACATCAAGTATTTGTCTATAAGTAGGCAATCTCCAGAATATAAAATATAGAAATTGAATTTTACATCACCAAGAAAATGATAATTCCCAGAAGAATATCCATTTTTAAGTCAAAGGGATTGGAGAAGAAGAGAATAAAATGAATTAGGGAAATAATGAGAAAAGAAGAATTATCCAACTGGAACAATATATTGACAGAGAACTGCCAGAAATAAAAGCTGAGCTTGGAAGAGACAACAGCACTACAGACATCACCAATGTCAGATGGATCTTGGCTGAAAGCAAAGAGTACCAGAGGAACGTCTATCTGTATTTTGTTGACTATGCAAAGGCATTTGACTATGTAGATTATAACAAATTGTGGCTAACCTTGAGAAGAATGGGAATCCCAAAACATTTGATTGTGCTCATGAGAAACCAATACTTGGACCAGGAGGCAAATGTCAGAATAAATAAACACTGTATGGTTCAAGATCAGAAAGAAAGTGCATCAGGGATGCATCCTGTCTCTATACCTTTTCAATCTGTATGAGGTACAGATCATTCAGGAGGCTGAAATTTTTGAGGAGTGTGGCATAAGGATTGGAGGATGACTCATCAACATCTTGTGTTATGCAGATGATACAACCTTGCTTGCTGAAACTAAGGAGGACCTAACGCATTTGCTGCAGAAGGCCAAGGACTGCAGTCTTCAATATGGATTGAAGCACAACATTGAGAAAACCCATATTCTCATCATTGGGCCACCTGGCAGTGCCATGACTGATGGAGAAGAGATTGAGGTTGTTAACAATTTCATCTTGTTCAGCTTCACAATCAACACTCCTGGTACTAGCAGTCAGAGATTCAAAAGATTCATTGCATTGGGGAAGTCTGCTGTCAGGGACCTCTCCAAAGTGCTAAAGAGCAATCATGTCAGTCTAGGGACTAAGGTGTGCCTGATCTTCTCAATTGCATTCTCTGCATCAGAGAGCTGGACGATGACTAAGGGTAACAGAAGAAAAAGTGAAGACTTTCAGCTGTGATGCTGGAGCAGAGTATTGAACAAAGCATGGACTGCCAGGAAAACAAGTAAGTCTATCTTGGAGAGGGTGAAACCAAGTTTCTCCTTGAAGGCTAGAATGTTCTCCATCTCACATACTTTGAACACATGGCCAGGAGGCACCAGTCCTTGGAAA